ACACAGAACAGGATTCATAGATTAATACTTTTTTTCCCCAAAACTGATAGTAGCTGCTTGTGTCCAGAATGGTATTTACTGCAAAGGAGAAGGAAATTTTCCACAGTTTATGTCAGGGGAGTATATGTGGGGTTTATTTATATATTTTGTGCAATGGAATTACTAAGTAAAATATTTTAACAATGATTTTTTCCATATACTCAATCAATTTCTGTTCAGTAAATAATGGTAATATAATACTTTTAATAACAAATTAGTAAGCATCTTCGTGGTACCTTTGTGCAGTAATGTCAAGGGAGTTCAGTCAGTAAGCCTGAACACAGAACATCCCTGTGAGATAGATTAGTATAATCCCTGTTTTGTAGATGGCAAACCTTAAGTTTGCTTTCTGTGCATTAGCCTGTACTTTGAGAAACCTTCATGTAAATGTATTACATGTCACAAAAGGAACAAGTATGGTAGTCTGAAAGAGAGCTTGGTTCATTTTGATTGGCAGTTCCTATGCAGGGCTTAACTGTCAGAAGTGGGAATTGTGCGGATAATTGTAAATTCATGATAAAAAATAATTATTAGCAATACAGTATCTCCCACATTGTCTGCCAGTCTCTAGCCATTGCCATGAATCCATCGGTTCCTTCAGAAATAAAATGTCTTCATACTTTAATAAAAAACTGATGTGAGTAGGAGTTGCCTACCGCTCAGGAAAATCCAGATAATTTTTACTGTGGAGACCAAGCTATCTAAAGCATTGCAAAGTTTTGGACTCAATTGATATTTCTTAGTGTTCTTCCTTTTTTTTCCCTCCCCACATCCCTCTGATATCCGACCATTTGTGACTGCAGAAGCCCCAGTAGGCAACAGAAAGAGAGGCAGGATCCTACCATTACTTAACACTTACTTTACAGCAGAGCCCAACAAGGTTGGGTTCTATTGTTCTTGACTGTGAAAGGTAAGATAAATGACAGTCCCTGCTTCCAAACAACCTACCATGTAAATAGAAAGGAAGAAAGCGGTGAGTGAAACAAACAGATCAGGATAGAGTTGGAGATAAATAAATAGGAAGTGAGGAATTCTGAGTTGGTGAGTAGTAACAATTGCAGCTTCTCTGCCTAGTCACAGTTAGGTTGCTTGGATGCATTACAAATAAGGGAGGTGAAGGGACGGAGGCTTCCCATATGTGAACTAGGCATTCCAAGTATTTCCACCTGGAAGGAGCACCCTGGGAGAAACATTTTCATGCTATATTAGAAAAGCAGGGAACTAAATGAGCAAGTCTGTGTCACTGACAAATTAAAGGTGGGAATTCTACTGAGGGTGGATGCTGTGCTACCCCAGTTGGTCTCTGTGTACTGTGATACAAATAAATGAATGAGGAAATTAAATCCTTCAAAGCCCAATGTGTGTTAGCACAAAGATCAGAATCTGACCCAGATGAAATAACTTTAACCTCCTTCAGAATGATAATCCAGGTGAAACAGTGCTCTATCTTATAAATATTCTCTTATTAAAATATTAAACAACCTCTGGCTCCAAACCTGGCAGTCACCAATACATTTCTGTTCTGCTGTGACTGACGTACTCTCAGTCACAGACCTCTCCCCAGAACTAGTTAGACATCATTGGCAAAGCATTTAACTGACAAGAATAAACTCTTTTTATTCTGGTCAACAAGGTTCTTTGGTTACACTGAATATCTTTTATTAGGCCAACTAAAATAGTTGGAAAAATTATTTGCAAGCTTTTAGGCACAAACACCCTTCTTCAGGCTGAGGAAGTATCTGCAGTTGTTCTATGCTTTTCTTGGATAGGATGGAATAGAATAGAAGCCAGAAGCCAGTATGCAAGAATGCCAGACAGTGAAAATGCAAACTGAGGCAGTCAGTGGGTAAGAAACAGGTGGTGGGGGGAGAAGGGGAATGTAGACCTGGTGATAAGATGTAGCTGGTAAATAGTAGAGAGATTATCTGGGGTATCGGATGTTGGGCAGCTTATAATGTGCCATAAATCCAATGTCTATATTTAGTCCATGATTTTTTGTATCCAGTAGGGTGATGAAGTGAAGTTCCTAGGCTTGTCTGTGAAAGGTGTTTTGTAAATTCCCTTTGAGGTTTAGAACTGAGAGATTGGAGAAAGAGTGGTTTTCTTGTGAGAAATGTGCCCCCACAGGTAATTAGGTATTCTTGTCTTTGATAGATTTTTGGTGTGCATTCATTCTGGTACGTAGTTGTTGTTTGGTTTTTCCTAAATATTGTCCATCAGGGCATTTAGTGCATTGGATGAGATGTATTACATTCCTGGAGGTGCAGGTGGTGTAAGATCCAGGAGTGGTGATGGTTCTGTTGTGGGGTGTAGTTATTGCGGGGGTGGTGGAGATATGTTGTCAGGTTTTACATTTCTTGTCATGGCATGGTCTTGATCCATTTGGTTTATTTTGGGCCATAGGTTTGCATTCCACCTATTCTGGTTTTCATTCCATCTTTCTGCAATCAAGGCCTAGGGGAAGGAGAAAATAAAGGGAGGGAAAAATATGAGATTAAAATGTTATTGCTGAGAAAAGATTTACAGCAATAAAAGCTAAACAAAAATGACATGAAGAAGCAGGCATTGGTTACCAGTTAGTCCATTGCTTGAAGATATTTAAGGTACTTTGATTATTCAGTACCAAGGTAGTTCCTTGTTCATCATGCTCTTTACTGCACCAGAGTCAACCCACAAAGAAATTCAGTGAGGCTTTTGAAATGAAAGAAATAAAAGTGCTGTGGTCAGATGGACAAGAATGAGCTGCAGAAGATCTTGCCTCCCACTCTTCCATGGAGGGAAGCATTTCACCCCAAATAAAATAGAGCAAATTACTAACTGAAACTTTCTTTAAAATGTGAAGCAGAGTAAAAGGACCACTGTCCAGTTGTGAGAGCCTTCATGGGTGCGTCCACACATGCAAGCACATGCACTTGCAGCAGCTCAAATAGAAGCGGTGCAAATTTGAGCTGGGGTTTTTTGCCTCAGCGCACATGCTCAGACATGTACTTTGGTATGGAGCAAATTGTGCCACCTGGGGCAAAATAACCCTGCCTGGCTCCTCCTGGATCTGCAGCCAGGGGGAGCTAGAGCCTGGGGCCAGCACCTGTGCTGTCCCCAGCAATATAAAAAGCTGCCCTGTCCTGGCTCCAGCAGTACAAAAACCTGCCCTGGCCAGCAGCTCAAGACTAC